CATGACAAATATGAACTCTGTTTATCTCTGAGTGTGAGGTGTGAATGATTAGAATTACTTATGATGTCTGGCTATGGAAATTGAAGCATAACAAGGTAAGGACTCTTACCAGAATGGTAAGACACTTGTTTTGTATGGTATTTCTACAGGCTGACCCGAACTGAGTTTACAAAAGAAAAAAAAAAAAAAAAAAGCCAGTTCTCAGATACAAGCTCCAGCTAGATAAAGAAACTTGAAAAGGCACATGATGCTGTGCTTCACCAGGAATGGCAGATAGGAAAATGGAAGATGAAAATTAATGAAGCATTGAGGAAACATAGAGGAGGAATACAAGACAAGCAGATAATAGTGAATCTGATTAATAGGAAAAAGTGATGATTATCACCAAGCTAGGATTGAAGCTGCTGCTCTTTACCAACTGGTTAAAATCCTATATGAAAGGATTTCAAAAATTGGTAATAGTATCATCTGTATAGTCTAGAATTAAGAAACTGAATATCAAAACACAAAGAACAAAATAATGAGAGATCCTTACACAGAGGGAATGTTAAGAAGCAAACAACCCTGTTTTCTTAAAAAAAAAAAAAAACACACACACACACACAAACCAGCCACTCTGAAGAAGTTGAGTTCCCTCCTGAGTAGTGGAAAAAAGTTGTTGTCAGAAACTAAGCAATCTGCAATAACTGGAAATGCTAACATAACTGCTAAAGGGAAAGATTTTCTCTGGACTACTACTCACCCTATGCAGGTTGAAATAAGTATCTTTATAAAGTCAAAGAAAAATCTATTTTTAAAAACTAAGAAAAATTAGAACAAAGTTTATACATGGAGTGGTGACTTCCTCATCTATTGTATTAGTTAAAAAAATAGTATTTCAAAAATATGAGGGAGACAGCAAAAATGTCATTACATCTCTGCAGCAAGCTGCTCAGTTATTAATTTCTTGTTTTCTTGTTTCCTTGTTCATGTCAAGCAAATAGAGGCTCAGCTGTGTTTAATGCTCTGATGAATAATGATATACATTTCCTACTCAGGAACTTAATTTAAATATGAGAGGGAGAGTAGGAGGAAAGGAATATAGCATCTTTTTGTGTCAAATGAGAAACTGAGACATTGAGAGACTTGTCCAGAAGGGACCCAGAATATCATGGCAGAATTATGCATCTTATTTAGACTTTCTAAATTCTAGTGCTGTGGTAGTCTTGCGAGGGGATCCATTCCTGCCGCTCTGCGTTCAAGAATATTCCTCTCTGGCTGTACTCAGAAGTACATTTATGGCAAGAGGCTACCGCCAGCATGTATGGCAATCCCAGTCCATTTTGGGGCAGTATGAGCAGGGAGGCAGGGGCAATCGATGTACATCTGCCTTCCTTTTGCCCAGCAAAACCCAGCGCTTGGCTTTTCCGCTGGTGGCCCTGCTGGCACCCACGGCAGCTTTCAAACCCCTCCCCAGCAGAGGAGGTGGCAGAGGGTGGCTGAGCTCCGCAGCATAGTTGAGAGCTGACTGGAGAGGCCCGGGCACCGTCGGCTTCAACATTCCCTTTTTAGGGCCTTTTTCCTTTTTCTTTTCTTTTTTTTTTTCTCCTT